CTTCTCAGAAGCCTAGGTAGTCCAAATTAGGTGGTTTTAAAAAGCCTGAAGTTTTCAAGAGCAGTTTTTTTAAACAAATCACATTATATGTGTACTTGTTTGTTTTAGTCTGTTACTAAATACTAGTAGGAAACTAAAATGGGTACTTACTGCAGATGTTGAATTTTACTGGCTAGGATAGTGGGAAGCATTATGGTGAAGCAGGGAAACATATTATGAAGGTTAGAAATAATAAAGAAAGGTGAATGCCAGTGCATAATATAATTTAGGAGTTGCCTTTGTAGGAAAAAGCCTGAGAATTCTCATCTTGCTTATTTTCAGAGATGTGATGCATACATTTCCAGCAATTTGCAACTAAAACACCCCATCTGACAGGTAAAAGTTAGCATAGTGCTTTTGTTTTTGTGAAGCAGGCAGAAATTGTCAGTGACAGAATGCAAATTCAGAAAAGCTGATGGGAAAATATTGACTGTGCAAACATGGAATGGCCAAAAGAATGGGGAGGCAAAATGCCACCAGTGCTGTTGCTGTCATGCAGCGGGACGCGCAGCCTGCTGCTGAACAGTCTTGTGTCAGTGCCTGTGAGGATGCTCTGTCAGGGCTTCAAAAGGTTGGCAAATTAATTCAATCAGTTGGTCACTATCACAGAGCTAAAGAATCAACCTATTTCACATGACAGACCAAGTAGCTGCCTTTTCCAATGTGATTTGGTTTGGGTCAGCTGTCAGATGCAAAGAAGTGAGTCCAGCATTGTTACCCAGCAGTTGCTGCCTGCTCAATGCAAAAGCCTCTGGAAAGCAACATCCTGAGGAGCTGAACACATCCAATCCCAAGAGGATCAGAATTTGCCCCCTTAAGGCCAAGTGACTTTGACCTGTTAAGAACATTATACTATGTTAGGAATCAGCGTAGGCATCAAAAAGAGTCCTGTTGGGGAATCTTCTTCCTTATGCTAAGAAAATGTGGCCTTTTCTAAGAATAACCAGATTATTAATGGAATAGAAATTTTCTTTCAGTACTCTGCAAGCTTTAGTGCCTGTTGGAAGCAACTCATTCTATTTATATCTTTAGTACAAATTTTCTGAACACAGTTATTGATTCAAATTTTCTTTCATTTCATTGCTAGTGATTTAGCTAAATAGCAAGATAAAGGTACTTGAGCCAAACAACAACAAAACAACAGAAGAGTACAGAACTGAAAAAGGCCTTGATATTCTATTGACCAATTAATATTTTTATTCTGGGGCAAAGAAATACACATTTGCCTTTAACAGAATGACCGACCAAATTGCTGTCAGTCTGCCAATCTGATAAAGGTCAACTACTGAAAACCCAGTCTGTCAGTACACAAACTAAGTGACCTAGGCAGTCAGAAGTTCATTTGTTGTTTTGAAAGAAAAGTACACTATTTTCATAGGTGCATCTGTTCTGCATCAACTACAAAACCTTTAATGAAATTTTATGGTGGAAATAACACTATCAACTTTCTTAATTATACTCCTTGCTCACCGGGGCTTCTCTGGATATCTTGACAATACAAACTTAGTTTAAATAAAATTATATATTTTAAGTCCTTCAAAATGTTGTTGACTTTTATTTTGGTCAAACAACTCTTCCCAAGAGTTAAACTGGCTGAATTAAACTGTCAGGGGTGGAAAAGAGGAATACGGCCACTATTCCTAAGATAGACAATTATTTGCTGTAGAGATTCACATTTTGATTGTAGAATAAAACCTTAACTGTTGCTTACCTATTTTCAAGTTACCTAACTATGAAAATATTTTAAGCAGGTTTTACTCTCTGTAGAGTGCTGGCTGAGCAAACCTGGCTGTGGGACCTGGCCAGGTCTCCTGGACTGATGCTCTCTCATGGCTGATGCTCACCAAAGGAAAGGGCCAGGACTGGGCACCACAGAAACTTGCAGAGTAACTTTCCTATGCAAAGAAGTTTGCACAGGAAAAGTTTATCAGTTACTACAAAGAAATTCCCTTATGTTCTTGGTTAGGAGTTGATTTATTTATTGCAGTCTTGTTTATATCCCTCTTAAGAAAAGAATTAAAAAAGATGTCATCCTCTAAATGTGGCTGCCTGCACAACCATCGGCTGGACACATGTTTAATTTTGGAGTCAGCTGGAATAGTTGCATCACCACACTGATCTAAATCTCTCCCTGCCATGTCTTCCCAGAGGGAGCATTTTGAGTGTTGCAGCATTCCTCATGCCAGGGAACAAATAGCATTTCAATGTGTAGGTACCTTTTGGTTTTGTAGAAATTTCAGGAACTCACATCTGCCAGTAAAACTATCATGCAAATTAGATATTCTCTCTTAATACGTAAATGATGTACTTAGTATTTTAACATCCCTTTTTCTTTTCAAAGGTACCACACATGAACATTTTTTACTTGAAAGAGGCAAGCTGCTCCCCCTGCTAAGCTGCAGGTGTCTTAGCCACTTATCTCTTTTGTGTCCTCTCACTTGCCTCAGTTCTGATGACTGTTATCTGCAGTAACTTCTTTCATAAGGATGATGGTTTTTACATCCATGTTCTACCTTTCAAAAAAAAAGAAAGCTTAAAGGAATTAAGATTTACTCTGACTTGTATGTAGGATATAATAATTTCCTTACAGAGATGGGAAGAGCTTGTTACAGAATAAATTACATAAATGCTGTGTGAAAGCATTGCACAGAAATCCTCAATCAAAATGCTGAAGATATCTGCTTACATGATTCCCGTAAATAAGTGATTACTGAAAATGGCTGCTAATTCTTCTGTTGCTCAGATGGTGCCAGTTTCAGAAGCTAGAAAATACAAATTTATTGTTGTTTGTTCAATCCCTGTGTTATTGTGTACTTCTGTTCCCTTATTAAGCTGGAGATGAGCAGAACTGTTTCTGGTTGATGTGCTTGTTTGAGCAGAATCATCACTAGTGTCAGCATTACTGTGGAGAAGAAATTGATACCCATAGGATGCCATATAAGCAAGAGGGCATATCCCCCCCAGTTTATGCAGTGCCACTGTGCTGTGAGTGCACAGAGGAGCATGTAAGCACATATTAGCAGTATTTGTGGACATTTGTGGGGCACTGAGACCTGTGTGTGTGAAGCAACAGGTTTACTAAGGAGATGCTGACTTCTCTAAAGTGGTTTGAAATGAATCAAGGTGGCAGTATTTGGGAGCCTGATGTCTCGAGTTTTAGCTATCACATCAACCTCTTTGTTCCAATGTGCCTGGAGCATGCTTGTCTGGCAGCTTGCTCTCCCCCAGCTTTCCACTGTGTGACAGACCTCTGGGGGTTTGTGCCATCATTCTTTCTTTCCTGTCTTTCTCCTTAGTGTCACCAGAAGGATGTGGGTAGAGAAGTTGAATGCTGGCACCCTGATTTCTGTCCCACGAGGACAAGTGGCTGTGAAGGAAGGGCTTGTTCATCATGATCCCTCTACAAGTTGCTCCCTCCGACTAACACATCTTTGCAATTGCAAGTGTATTTCCCTCACCAATCCCAGAGGTTCAGGAACACACAGCCTCTCCAAAAAGTCCTAAAGTGAGAAAGGAAAACCAGCAACAGCGCAGAAGCTCCTAATGATGCGATTTTTTTAGCCTGGTTTCTGATTTCCTCCTGAGCAAGAATGCTTAAGAGCGATGATGGTTGTTGCACTAAACTATAGATTTTCAAACATAAGCTTGGAGTGGTGAGCCTAGCCTAAATAGTTTTCAAGAAAGAGTTAAAAAAAGAGGAAGGTACACTTCAGCATTTCTTCCTCACCACCTTCTGAACTTACCTTGCATTGAGCAGATACCAGACACCATCCTGAGGAGATGGAATAGCTATTTCTTGCTCTTTGTTTTTCACAGAACTAAATCTATTTTTTTTATTTTTTGAAAAATCTGTTTTTCAAAAAGGAGGAACAGACCAATGTAAGGAACTAAACATATCACTCTAAGAACTTTGTAGAAGTGGCACACATTAGGTCATTTGGCCCAACAGTAATGTCTTGATAGCACAAAATTTTATCGACATGCAAATGCAATAGAAATATTTCTATTAAATCTATAAAAAATAGTAATTGTAGAGCTATTTTTGTTGCACTTTAAGGAATTTCTCCTCCACAGCAATTTTTTCTTGAAATTGTGGAAAGTGTAGTACATCAATTTTTATGAATTTATTTGATTGTTGACTTTTCTATCATCTACATCAAGAGAAGCAAAATTAAGCTAGCAGACAGCAGAGAAGCCAGAAGAAAATTACGTTTTAAAAGTCTATCTGAATCTCATTTACACTTTGCAATGCAGGTGTTGAAGTCTATTTCTTAACCAGAATATTTTAAAATGAAACTGTGCTCCTTTAAATTGCTTACATAAGATTTCTGCTCCTTTCTGCTTCATAGACCTCCTCTTTCTTTGAAGCAAACTTAAATTCCTTCAGGAAATAGGAGGCTTCAGAAATGGAAACACCATGTGACAGTGAGGAAGGGCCATGCTGGCCGAGGAGAGCTCATCCTTTCCAGGGTCACTTTGCAGAAACCCCATATTTCTTAGTGATGGGATGAAAAGGAGCAACAATAAAATATGTGTTTTCAAGGGGGAAAGAAATTGTGCTAAACCATCTCAGTCCACCTCTGCCAGCCACTTCATGTTCCCTTTCAATGTATGGGTGGCTCTCAATTATATCTTTGTTTAACTCAAATTGCAAAAACAACCCCTTGTTTGAAACTGTTTCTACATATAAAGATTTATAGTGCTGGGAATAAAAATCATCATCTGGATTTCATTAAGATTTTCCTGGCAAGTAATTAATGCTGAAAGCATGTTTTGATCAAGCATCTCCACTAGCAGCAATGGTAAGTGAGTTAAAAGCAGCTAGCATTATAGAAATAGGTCTACTTGGGCTCTGAAAGTTTTTGCTAGTTTTCCCAGCCCTCAGCAAATGGTGGTGCTAGTACCTTATTTTTCATTCCCTGTGTTTCCTCATTTCATGGTCATATCAGCCTCTTGGTGACTGCCAATGAGCGGATCTCATCATAGCTGAAAATTCAGGAACATGTGCAAAGAAGCCACCCAAATGGACAAGAAATTTGAATATTCTCTCTCCTGGCTTTTTCCTTAAGAATGAGAAGACTGCAGGTATGAACCTGTCAAAGTAGGTAAATAATTTTTTTTGTTTGTTTCTGTTTTGATTTGTATCTGTTGTGAGTTAATTGTATGTCTCTATTTACATGTACAGTAAGTCAATGTAGGTTTTTCTGTGTTATACCTGTTGTGCATTTTTGTGTTCTAGACTATGAGAGCAGGACTCTGTCTCAGCCTGCTTTTGGGAGAATTGGCTTTTGGAGCAATAATCAGTAAGATGTGGGATGCCCTTTTCCCAAAGCAGAAATGACAGCTTATCTACTGTACTCCAAGTAAAATGCATAGTATACAGCTCCCTGTGAAGTTCCACGTTGCAGAAATGCAGAAATACCCACTGGCACCAAAGCAGTGTTTTACACTGTGCACTGGGCTGCGGAGGCACCTGTGAGATAACCTAACCCTTGGTAATGCATAATAACTCTTTGTCTGTATTCAGGGGGGGTTATTGGCTGTATGGGAAACTACCAGCTACAGGTGTACATTTGGAGAAATTTCCAGAAAGTACTGATAACTTGGAACATATAGTGTAGCAGCAAGTGTTCAACTCCTGTTCATTTCACCCATGAAAAATGACAAGCTGGAAAAGCCGTTATGAGTTGTTTTGAGAGGTCCGTGTTTTATCATCAGCTTGAAATTGTGCTTCTGGCTGTTAGTCACTGGGCTGCCAAAATTCAAGTGGTTTGAAGTGTGAGAGCTACTGGACCTGCAGGGCAATAACGGGAAGGAGGTTATTTTATGGCTGATCTCCCTGCCTGTGTTGTGTGCTTCCCTCTGATAAGGTGGCTGTATCAGCCCCACCTATTAAAGTTGTCTGACACTTCCCATTACAGACTTTGTTTTCAGATGATTATAATGTAGCCAAACTATAACTGTCTGAGTTGAAATCTGACTTCTTGTACTGGTGTGCTGAAGTGCTTCATGTGAAAATTAATCAAAAAAAGTTCCTCAGGTTTGTTTTTTTTTTAAATAAGAATAGAGAAATTGTTTTGCACAGTGAAGATAATCTCCTCTTTGTGGAACTCTAAACGTAGTTGTGTGATCTTCGATCTGCAGGTCATGATTTCATGATCTCATTAGTGTGAGGAGAGTCAGTGCAGGCTTTGTATTAATGTAGAAAATGTGGACCCTAATGGATTTTTTCACGTATACTGTGTGGGCTGTCAAAGGTATTTTCAAAGTTTGAGCCTATTTGGCTCTCATTCCCTGCCTGAGTGCATCTGTGTTTTCTGAGTGGAGACTTGACACTTGGAAGAGAAGTGGCTATTGGCTAAGGGACAGCTTTTATCTCCATGAAATCAGACCAACTCTGGCAAAGCTGTAAGCTGCTTAAAGAACACATAATTCCAATATGCTCGTGCTTGCTGGATGTTTCCAGCCTTATTCCCTATAGTTTATCTCTGTGTGCCCAGGCTGGGACAGTTCAGGCTGAGCAGATGTCTCCTGTAACTGAAGTTCTCAAACTGTTGCTGGCTGCACTGGCCCTGGACATCATCACAAAGATCAGGGGCTCTTTCTCTTTGTTGCCAATACTTTATAAAATTATAATATAAAATTATAAAATTTAAAAGAATAACAGAGGAGACCTTGGTCCAGAGACCAAGTAAGAGACTAGGACAAGGAATCTGGCTGTAGAAGACCACAGAATACAGGGACTGGAGTCCTATGGGGCAGTGAAAATACTGTTTGGGTTTCTCTACTGGGTAAAAGCAACCAGGATTTAGTGGCTGGATCAGCTGGACAGAGATTAGGGCAAAAAATGAGGAAGGGAGTTGAGGCATAGCCAGAGGTTATTTTTACTAGCCTTGAACAGAAGAAACAGGGCTGGTGGGCCGTATAGCCAAAGCAGGTGTTTCCTGCAGGAGGGACTGGAATAGTGAAAAAAAAAAGTTCCACTGTAATGTCTATGAGAAGATGAACTTCAAGCATAGGGCTAAGCAGTAAACACTAAAATCAGCTCTGAAAAGACAGAATGGGAAGACTTATGTGTGAGAAGGAACCAGTCTAAGAAAGGAAAAAATAAGAGAAGGGACAGAAAATGGTTTTGTGGTTCTAGTCATTCACATGAATCGAGGCATCAGAACAATGTACATAACTGAAAGAATGTTACTTTGTTTTTCAGACCAAAACAACTGTAGACAACACCTATTGTGTTTTGTTGTCTACAACTGTAGACAACACCACTGTGCTTTCACAGTTCTGCAGTGCCAAAACTCAAAATGAGTGGATTCCAGAGACAAAATATCACACACAAGCTTAATTTTGTCCTTGCTTATTTACATCCAGAAAATGTTTCCCTTCACCTAACACATGCACAAAATAGGGGGATGGAATAGTTTGTGAAAGTTCATGTCACAGTTATTTCAACAGCAAAGGATTTTGATAAATATATTACACTAGCTGGCACAAGGTCCCCCTGAGCTAAACAGTATGTGATGTTTTAGAACAGATTATGAAATAAATAATTTTTAAACCTGAGCTATTCTGTTGGAGTCAAGAGGAAAATGAAACCTATGTTAAAGTGTATGCAGCAAAGTGGCAATGGAAATCTACAAATAGAAACAATAACAATAACTAGGGTAAGATTTGATGTTCCTTTACTTGGAATGCCCAAGTTTACAACTCTGTTCTTCTAATGTTCTTCTAATTCTTAGAGGAAATTACTTGGTTTTCTCCACAAAAGAGTCCAAAAATATTATAATGTTTCATGCAGAGCAGATAATACTGGATCAGGAGCCAAGAATGAATACAGGGGTCACTAAACTGCCCCTCTAGGCACAACCTGAAGGTGTGTAAAGGCTGTGTATAGCTTCCATGTGAATTTGAATTGCTGCCATGAACTCTGATGGGTATTCTTTCACCCAAAGATCAGTATTTGATTAAAATTATGTCCATTAAAATATGATACTTTTTCTCCCTGTCACAATATTGCCAGGTGTGCATATAGCTTTATTTTACCTTTGAATCTGCTTGGAAAAACTAAGTGTTTTGTGTATCTAACCTTTTGCAAGTTTGTTTCTGTTTGAAGATTTTGCCTACTTAATGAGCAGTAAATGAGCTCCCTGACAGCACAAACCCGTCATGTATTCCAATATTCTTTACCAGATGCTGTCAGCTTGTGCCCAGAGGTGGTGAGCACCTAAATTAGGCACCTCTTAGGAATGATCTCTGTTTGTCTGCTCAATGGAAAGGGTTTAATTTGCTGTTTAGGACCCACTCCTTTTCCCTAGTTAGTTGTGGCACTAAAATGAGATGTGCACATCAGGAATAAAGTTACATTGTCAAAATAAAGTTCAGCAATGTGATGTCTTTCAGTTGTCATCTGTTACTGCCTAGAGTCAGTCTTGTTCACGCTCACCAGGGTAGAGCTGCCATGAGAAGCCTTTAATGATGAGCCTTCCTTTCATCATTTGCAACAGAGGGCCCACATGCTTCACCTCCCAAAATCAGAGCAAATTCTGCCGCAAGCAGGTGGAAGAGGTGTGATTTTATAATTTACAAAGTGGATGGTAGTATTTTTGGTGACTAAACTCAAGCTTGAATTCCCATTAGGTCATGGTGATTGTAATGGTGAGAAGGGAGAGACAACAATGGAAAACATATTTTAATTGGAACAAAGTTGTGATTGTGCCTGTTCCCAAGAACAAAATCTGTTTGCTCTGTGCCAATAGCCCCTAGCTGCACTTAGCAATTTGGAAATTTTGAATTCCAAATAAGAGCTTTGATTCTGTTATTTCCCCACTTTACATGCCTTAAACAGACAGAACCAGCAAGAAGTGAATAAGCAAGATTTAACTTTTCCAACCAAGTAACATACAAATGAAACCATATGACTACAAACAATAGCTCTTGTGTCCTATTCCTGCTATTTGTAGGTCCATATATTGTTCCTCTGGCTAGCTACCAGAACTCATAAAATGCTTTTAGGCAGCTGTGTCCCATTAAAGCCACATGTTACATTACTTCAATAAGGAACCACAGAAATGCAAAGCTGACAGGGATTTTAGAAGACTGCTTTTTTATCTTCATAGACTGGGAAAGGATCGAGCATGCCACCCTAGAAGATACTAAAAGCCCTCAGAGGAGCAGATTCCAGAACTCTTTGGACTATTTTGGTATTTCTTTTCTCTGACTGTTAGATAGCTCTTTGTAATATCCAGCCTTAGTATTTTTACTTTTTTTTTCTCATGGTGGACACTGTAAGCTGTTGATTAGCATCCTTTTATAGAGCTCTATTACTTATTGTAAGATCACTGTCATATCTGCTCCCAGCCTTCACTTCAGAGAAAGGAAACCCAATTAGCACAGTCTTTTTTTACCTTTTCATCACCTTTTCTGTTTAAATCCTCTAAAGTTACTGTTCTCTGGATTCTGATTTGTTTAATTTTTTTTCTTGGGAATGGATAAAATTAATTCTTCATCTGAGGACCCACCAGTGACCAATATATCAATCAATAGCTTTTGCTGCCTAGTCAAAAATTCTTTCTCTTGTGTTTGTGCATTTGATTATATTCTATAATCTTCCTACAATGAAAAATTAATATAAAACATAGACATGATTATCTGCCCCAAATAGAAGAACACATATGTCTGAGTATTAAAAGAATAATCTTATTTTATAAACAGTATTTTTGTTAACAAAAAATTATGCAATGGCAAGGAGGACTTTTGTTAGCACTGTCTCTTAAGTCAGATTTCTGAGTTTTGTTCATGCACTGAGATTAAATAGGAAACAGTTCAAAAGCTTAAGACTCATCGCACTAAAAAGAGATGAATTAGGGGGTGTTTGATAGAAATCTTCAAAGTTATGCATGATGTTAACAGTTTATAATTTCTTTCAGTACATGAAAGATAACAGAAGCCAGCTTCAAAACAAGAGGAAGATGGGTTTGTTTTTAATGCAACAGTCATGCAGCAAGTAAATGTTTAAGTGTGTTAAGGCTAATTTATATGTGTGGTAGTTTACATATGTTCAAGGACTTGTGAATAAGTTTGCCAAAATTATTATGTACA